TTCTTTGGGTTACTTTTTAGGGAATCCTGCTGATTATTCTCCACACATACAGTACGTACACACACACATACACACACACACACAGTCAGGGGAAACCCCACCCCCAGTATTTAACGTGGGTTCTTTTCTATTTCCGGCACTGCGGGGACAGAGGGCCCAGCGTGGCAGAGGCAGGGGCAGGGCGGGGGCAGAGGGCGCAGCGTGGCAGACGCGGGGCACTGCCGCAGACCCTCTGTTGAGCAGCGGCCACACGCAGCCCCGTGTGTGTTTGGTGAGGACAGTCCCTGGGTGTGGCTGGCAGTGCCCTCTGCGGGCAGGAAGGAAAGGATGTCTGTACAGGATAGAGTGGGGGCCCATCCTGAGAGGGCCTCACCACAGACACTTTGTTCTGTCCAAAATAAAGACGCCTGAGATGTGGTGGCCCCGCGTCTTCCCGGTGCGGAGCTGTGGTGGCGTCTGAAGCGACTGCTTTGCACTTGGCGTTGTGATGTGTGGGGAGAGCTTGTAGAGCCGGCAGTTCTTTTTTTTAATGTTTCTGCTTATTTTTTTTCAGACTTCTTTAATTTTTAGACCTCTTTATTGAGTTTAATTTACTTACCATAAAATGCACTCACTGAAGTGCACAATGAAGTGGTTTTGTGTATTTACAGAGTTGTACAACTATCGCCATAATTTAATTCCTGAACATTTTCATTGCCTCCGAAGGAAACCCTGTGTTTAAGAACTCACTGCACTCTCCCCAGCACCCTCGCCCCGGCAGCCACATCTCCAGTGTCTCTGGGAATTTGTCTTTTATAGACATTTCATAGAAGTGGAACCTACAATGTGTGATCTTTGGTGTGTGAATTCTACCACTGAGTTCCTCTGTGTGGTAGCCTGTGGAGTGCCTCCTTCCTTCCTGTGGCAGAGCCTCGTCCTGCTGTGTGAATGCACCACACACCACGTTTTATCCATCCGGTTCATCAGCCGATGGACCTCTGGGCTGTTTCTGCCTTTCACTGTTAGGATAATGCTGCCATGAACATTGTGTACATGTTTTTGAGTGGATGTTGAATATAGACCTAGAAGTAGAAATGCTGGGTCATACGGTGACTCCATGTTTAACTTTCTGAGAAACTGCCACACTTTTTCCAAAATGATTGCCCCATTTCACACTCCTGCCTCCAGTGTATGAGGGTCTGTTTGTCTGATCCTCACCAACACTTGTTTTTATCTTTTTTTTTTTGGACCAGGTGCCCAGGCTGGAGTGTGGTGATGCAATCTCTGCTCACTGTAATCTCCGCCTCCCAGGACCAGGCGATCCTCCCACCTCAGCCTCCTGAGTAGCTGGGACCACCGGTGCGCACCAC